GGACTCCGCTTCGTCCAGGACTACCGTGCTCTCAATGCGATGACTGTCAAAAACCGGTACCCCCTTCCGCTGATCAACGACCTCATCAACCGGCTCAAAGGCGCTCGTTACTTCACCAAACTCGACGTCCGTTGGGGCTTCAACAACGTCCGGATCAAGGAAGGTGACGAGTGGAAAGCGGCTTTCCGGACTAACCGAGGCCTGTTTGAGCCCTTGGTGATGTATTTCGGCCTGACAAACTCTCCCGCGACGTTCCAAAGCGATGATGAATGACATTTTCCAGGACCTCATCCTCTCCGGAGACGTCATGATCTACCTTGACGACATCCTGATCGCCCATTCCGACCTCCAGAAACACCGGCAGATTGTTCAGGAGGTCTTGCGGCGACTCTGAGAGCACAAGTTGTACCTCCGAGTGGAGAAGTGCGACTTTGAAAAATTGTCAATCGAGTACCTCGGAGTCATCATCTCCCATAACCACGTCAAAATGGACCCCGTCAAGGTCGCAGGCGTCTCCGCTTGGCCGACTCCGGAAAACAAGAAGGACATTCAGCAGTTCCTTGGGTTCGCTAATTTCTACCGCAGGTTCATTCGGGACTTCTCGACCCTGGCGCGCCCTCTCTTCGTGCTCACCAAGAAGGACCAGCAGTGGACTTGGGGCGACACGGAGGCCTCCGCGTTCCAAGCGATCAAGGACGCAGTCACCTCGGAACCGGTCCTGGCGATTCCGGACGACGCACGGCCTTTCCGACTTGAGGCGGACAGCTCTGATTATGCGACGGGGCGGTTCTTTCACAATCCGCCCCGGACGGGAAGTGGCACCCTGTAGCATTCTATTCCAAAAGCTTAAATGATGTTCAGCGCAACTACGAAATCCACGACAAGGAGATGCTCGCGATCATCCGCGCACTCGAGGAGTATAGACACTTCCTCGAGGGCGCCGCACATCCCGTCGAGATTTGGACTGACCATAAGAATCTGGAGTACTTCAGGAAGACGCAGCACCTCAACCGGAGACAGGCCCGCTGGTCCCTCTACCTCTCCCGGTTCGACTTCACGCTGCACCACAAGCCCGGCCGCGACATGGGCCGACCTGACGCCCTCTCTCGGAGACCAGACCACGGAATCGATTCCGACAACTCCGACGTCGTCCTTCTGCGGCCCGAACTCTTCCATGTCGCGCTCTCGAAGGCGTTTCCGTTTCCGGCCCTGGTTCTGAACTCCTTCGCGACATCCGCGATGCCCTCTCCGGTGAGCCTGACCTGGAGGAGCCCGTCGCACTAGCGGCCCGGCAACTCCTAAAGGTCCAAGGTCAAGCTCGAGGCCCTCGCTCCTCGGCCCGACGAGTGGGCTGTCTCCGGTGGTCTTCTTCACTTTCGTGGGAAGATTGTCGTACCTAAGGATAAGGACCTCCGGAGACGCATCATCGAGCTCTGCCACGACACTCGAGTTGCCGGACACGCGGGTCGCTTTAAGACCTTGGAGTTGGTCTCCCGGAACTACTGGTGGCCTCAGATGTCTCGCCATATTGGCCGGTACGTCGCGACCTGTGACTTGTGCTGTCGCACCAAAGCACTCCGGAGACTGCCCCACGGAGAGCTGCACCCGACGGAAACGCCCCCAGAGCGTTGGCATACCGTCTCCGTCGACTTCATCGTCGAGCTTCCGGAGGCCCATGGGGTACGACGCGATCATGGTCGTCGTCGACACCCTTGGGAAGCGTGCCCACTTCTCGGAGTGTCACACCACGGTCGACGCAGTAGGGGCGGCTCGCCTCTACTACCGGAATGTCTGGCGCCATCACGGGACTCCGGAGAAGTACGTCTCCGACCGCGGCTCGCAGTTCATCACAGACTTCACCCGAGAACTCTGGCGTCTAATCGGCATCAAGCCTGCCACGTCCACCGCGTACCACCCCGCAGACAGATGGTCAAACAGAGCGCGTCAACCAGGAGCTGGAGCAGTACCTGCGGATCTTTACCAACTATCAGCAGGACGACTGGGATGAGCTGATTCCGGCCGCGGAGTTCGCCTACAACAACCACGTTCACTCCTCCACGCAACAAGTCCCCTTCATGACGGACACGGGACAACTCCCGCGCATGGGCTTCGAACCCGGAGTCCGTTCCGCTATGGAGTCCGTGAACGAGTTCCGCGACCGGATTGCCACTGGTGTTGCCGAAGCCAAGGCCGCGCTCACTAAGGCCAAAGAGGAGTACAAGCGCTACTACGACCGGAGACGCACTCCGTCTCCGGAGTTTAAAGTTGGCGACCGTGTTTGGCTGGATGCCTCTGACATCAGGACGACTCGCCCCTCGGAGAAGTTCTCCCACCGCCGCCTCGGACCATTCAAGATAGTCGCGGAGATCAGCAAAGGTGCCTACAAGCTCGACCTCCCCTCCCGCTACTCGAAGCTCCACCCGGTCTTCCCCGTCGTCAAGCTCGAGCTCGCCCAAGACGACCCCTTCGACGGACGCCCCGGCTACGACCAGCCCCCTCCGGACCTCGAGGACGGAGTCCCGGAGTGGGAAGTAGAGGAAATCCTGGACGCAAGGGTGAGGTATAAACGGCTGAATTACCGTCAGATGGAAAGGCTACGACGCGTCGCATGACCAGTGGGTCCGCTTCGACCGCGTCTTCGCCCGGAGAAAATCGCGGAGTTCTATCGTAAGTACCCTGGCAAACCACGGCACATCGCCTCTGCAACCTTCGACTCGATTCCATTCCGGTCTATGCGTCGGGACGCCGCATTCAAAGGGGGGGGTGATGTCAGGGGAACCTCCCTTTCGCCCCCTCGGAGACGATTCCGATTCCGGTCCGACTCCGGCTCCGACTCCGGTGATCGCATCACCGCCTCCGTCAGGCGCATCGCCGCCCCCGCCTGGCGATCCCCCTGGGACCTGGCCTGCGACATGGCGCAGGCATACTGCACGGAGCAACGATCAACCTTGGCGCGTCAAGAGCGCAGTATATAGTTCCGCTACCTAGCAGGCGGACCCTTAGAGTTTCTTCTCTTTGGATCCTCCCCTGCTAGGTCAGCCTCACTTGTATTTGCTTACTTCTATTCACTCTTTGGATCCTCCCCTGCTAGGACCTTGATCTCAGGCCTCCGGGGTTGCCCTTACAACTTCTGGGACTCGCTTGTGATCATGAAGGAGTCACTCCAAACATGCATCTTGTGTCAGGCACATGCAGAGGAGACGCAGTACATGCAGCACATGGCAGAGTTGGATGCAGAGGATGATGTGTTGGAGACCATGGGGCAGTAGAAATTAATGTATATTACTATATAAAGGCTAGAGTAGTTAAATACAGCTCTATAAATGTGCCCAGAAAAATTTCCTTTTTGGGATACCAAGCCCTTTGCCAGCCCTTAGACTAGGTGAGGCCTAAGGTTTAGACTAAGGGCTAAGGTCTTAGCTTGTGAGAAAGGCTGAAATTGAGGCCTTTGGTGCATCACTAGGCCCCCATCAGGCCTGTGCCTTGCTACATGCCAAGACCTAAACAGAAATATTCCCCAATTTTTGTTCTTAGCTATAGAGGAGGTGGTTGTATGTCTCTGATATCCAGGAAATACCGAGAGTGCCAACTGGTATTAAAATGGACAGGTCAACAGCTACTGTACTATCTTATTCATTTTGTTGGTCATGCATCACACCCTGGCTGATCAGATGATTGTTTTTGTCGATCACAGGGTGCGGACAGGACTGATGAAATGGCTTGGCTGATGCCATCACCGGCAGGAGCAGGGCCGTGAGCTCTGTGTGACAAAAATTTTCATCGGTCACACAGCCGGCTGACAAACTGATTAAAATAGTACAGTATCCTGGTCAGCTGACAACTAGACAGGCCTACAACTGGCATCAATGGTTCAAATATAATCATCAGGTACAAAAAACTTTCTTCCTAGCAGTTTTTGGGCAAATTTTTTTTATCTCACTTTTCATATGAAAAATTGCAGAAACAGGCAGGTCACACCAGGGTTTCAGCCGACAAATGGTCCCCTAAGCAGGATTTATATATAAGAAATAATGGTCCAAAACAATGACCTTCTTTGCCATTTTGATTGATATGCCAAAAATTGTATCTGATTTACAAGAAATCAAGTTCTATATCATGGTATCAAATATCACATACATAATGACTACCTCATTCCAGACCATGTTTTGTAAACAACAAGTGCACATTATTTAAGGCCAAATATTTGTCAAAGAAATAGTGTCACATTATTATTATTACCCCGATTTGTCATATATATAACAGTGATTTGTCATATATAATGGCAATTTGTCACTTATATCCGATATATTAGGTACACTTTGGTGCTGGCCTGGATTTTTGATATATATGGTTTTATATCTTGTAACATATTTGTTGCATTTATTTATTGTAAATCATGGCCATAAAATTGTCAGCTGATATTGGCTCTGAGTTCAGTGCAATCTGATGACTTAATATATGCCCCAACTCTTTACAAATCAAGCCTATTTTCCTGGAGTTTTATTTATTATTGTTCTCAGTTGAGAAAATATACACTTTTTTTTTGTCCACTATCTACCATAAATGAATCCTACTTCATGGCCTATTTTTTGGCAGAAACCCCGGTGTGAGTGAGGTGTGTCACGCGGGCGGCGGATGAGTAATCGCTTGTCCCTTGTCTTCGCACCGTCACCTCCATCTTTTCCTGCTCTTTCCCGACCGGTCAGCCGCGCGCTGCTGCAATCATCTTCAAGAACTCATTGGACGCAACCGACGAGACGACTCCGCGCGCGTGAAACAGAGCGCGAGGACGTCTTGGCGACCGCGAAAAGGCACGCGTCGTGACGCTTGGGCTTGGCGCGGCTGGCGATTCAATGTGTGGCTTACCCGACGGACAGATCGCTGGCACGCCAAACAGACTTCTATCAGAGTCCGCGAAGCTTTATATAAGTAGGCGCGTTGCTCGGTGCCCCAGCCCAGCGCTCCCGGCCATATCCCCCGCAAGCCCCCTGGAACAGCCGATGGCAGCGTCGACGACAACGGTGCTGGGCGAGAAACTCGCGGTGGACGCCGTGGAATCTCCTGGGAGCGAGCGCGATGAGGTGGCAGAGGATCCGCGTCTGGAGCATGTGTGGGCGAAGCTGGACCGCTGGGTGCTGCCCCTCGTTACACTGTTCTGGCTGCTCTCTTTTCTGGTGCGTTATCTGTCCTGTTATCTGCGGTCTGCTCACATGGCTAGGACCGGACGAATATCGGCAACGCCAAGGTCGCCGGGCTGATGAAGGATTTGCAGCTGACGAACAGAGAGTACTCGATTGCGCTGACGGTGACTTACGTTCCGTACATCGCGGCGGAGCTCCCCGCGAGCTTGGTCCTCAAAGTGCGTCGGGCTGCTGTTTGCAGGCCCATTGCTCACCCCAAGTCTAGAAAGTGGGGCCACATCGTTTGCTGCCGACGCTGCTTACTCTCTGGGGCATCGTCACGGTGTGTGAGGGCACCATATCGTCATACGCGGGCTTGCTCGCATGTCGATTCTTCCTCGGGCTATTCGAAGGCGGGCTATTCCCCGGCCTCGCGCTCTATCTGTCGTACTTCTACCCGCGCGCAAAGCTCCAATTGCGCATCACGACCTTCTTTTCGATGGCGGCCTTCTCTGGCGCATTCGGCGGGATCATCGCCTACGGAATTGTCAACAACTTGGCCCATACGCATGGCCACAAGGGCTGGCAGTGGATATTCATAATCGAGGTGGGCTGTTGTCCATTCGCTGTTGTGTTGTACTCAGGCTCATTCTCAGGGCGCGATCACGGTCTTCGTCGGGATTGTCTCGTTCTTCCTCTGGCCCCCGTCTGTTGAGAAGACACGCTTCCTGACCCAGGAGGAAAAGGCTTACGTCAACGGCCGACTGCGCGCTGACGGGGCGATCCACCGCGACGAGGCGGCCGACGCGTTCAGCTGGCAGGATGTCCCCAAGGCCTTCATGTCGATCCACGTGATCCTTCTCGGGATCGCGTTCTTCCTACACGGCACGACGCTCTTCTCCTTCGCCTACTTCACGCCGTCGATTCTCCAAGGACTCGGGTACACCGCGGCCAAGGCACAGCTGATGAGCGTCCCGCCGTACTCTGTCGCGTTCGTCGTCTCGATGACCACTGCGTGGGTGTCAGACAAGTATCGCTGCCGCGGCTTGGCCACCGTATTTGGCGCAGTGCTCGGCATTGTTGGCTTTGCGATGTTTCTCGGCTCGGGGGACACGCGCGTGCAGTACGGCTCGCTGTTCCTGTCGCTTACCGGCGCCTATGTCGTCGCCCCGGCGCTGGCGACGTGGAATGCCAACAACAGCGCGCCGCACACGCGCCGCGCGACGGCGATCGCGATCGGCTTCAGCATGGCGAACACGGGCGGGATCCTGAGCACGTGGCTGCTGGGAAGCATCTCCCCGGGCCCGCGGTACACCAAGGGCACGCGGCTGCTGCTCGCGTTCAGCGTCGGCCTGCTTGTGGTCACGCTTGCGGCGATCGCGTATTTGCGGCGTGAGAATGCGAAGAAGCGCGCGCTGAGGAAGACGGTCGCGAGGGAGGAGGAGGACGCGGCGTTGGGCGATCGGAGTGCGTGGTTCGTGTACAGTTTGTGAACGTCTTGGGCCTTTGCTTTTTGCTATCGTTTCGATTCGTTTGGGTGGTGTGATGTCGTGAGTGAAATGCTGCTGCAAAGCACTAGGTAGAAGCGGATATATATTGACTTTATACTGGACTGGACTAAATGACCATCGCGCACCGCACACGCAGCCGTCCCGCGAGAAAGACGCGTGCTCGCACCTGCGAACAGACATGGCGGGAAAAGGCAAAGAGGACATCGTGTGAGAAGAAGCGGCGCACAGCCCGCAACACGTGCCGCGTATCAACCACCGCTTCTTCTCCCACTTCTCACAGCCCGCCCGGCCTCAGCCCACCCCGCTCCCGAGCTACAGCGGGGGCACAGCGGGGCATGGCGCCAGTGACGATGGCGTGCCCGGCAGCCGCTCCCGCTCACTCAACGGCAAGCCTCCAAGTAGTACTACTTAACTACGGCTACAACCCAAGACTTGCAGCGTGGCTATTGCGCATTTCGCGGCCACACCCGGCCCCGTGCACGCCTCGGCTGACACGACCCGCCGAATGGCTACATCCGCGGCCGATTCCGCGGGCACTGCAGCCATTCTTGAACGGCGACCGTCGCCCAGCTTCACCCTGCGCAACCCACCCGGGCCGTCTTCACCCAGTCCACACCCCGCGACGTCCGCTTCACGCTGTCACCAACAAATCGGTCACGACGATCTCGAAAACCGACCGTCCCGCGTCTCAACGCGCTCTCCTTCCGGTAAGTGGAGCAAATGAGGAGTGTGGTGCCGAATGACCTTTTCGCGAAGGCTTACAACGGGCGACTGACTGTGCGGGAGTTTGCGAAACAAGAGCGAGCCGGTCGGCCGTGAACCCGCGGCAGCCAATGGGCGGGAGTGTTTGCGGTCGGCGGGAGTGAGCTACAAGGAAACACGTGAGTTGCTCTGGGCGGAGACAGCAGGACAGAACGCACCTTGCGGGAGACTCGGACAGAACCGGCCATAACGAGCCCCAACCCCGGCCCGCCGAACGCGCGCGCGAGTCGGCGGCAGCGAAGGGCCATGCCTGGACGGCAAGTCTCACTCTGCACAACCCACCCGGGCCGTCTTCACCCAGTCCACCCCGCGACATCTCCAGCCATTCGCTACAAGCTGCAACGCACGAATCAGGCGCCAAATGAGGAGCAGGATGTATTATCACACACGACAAGCCCGAAGTCTGAAGAGCGTGCTCTTCGTAGCCCATCTGCCTCGACACCGGCAAGGGCGGGGCCAACGCGCGCGGCTGACAAGGGGCGATTCGCCAAAGTTAGCGAAAGCTACCAACAGCCGCGCGGCCATAGCGAGCGCAAGACCTGGGGGATGATGATGTGGGCGACCGCTGGGATAAGATAACGGGGGTAAGCGCCGCCGACTCACCGTTCGCGAAGGCTTACGACGGCCGACTTACTTTGCGGAACAACACAAACGAGCCGGTCGGCCGCGAATCTCGCGGCGTCCTTGTCAGCCACTGGCCCGGCGTTTGCGGTCCAAGCAGCTTGCATCGTCGTCGGCGACGCGGAGTAATTTCGCCTACCAAGCCAAGCCAGCTAGCTGCAAAAACGAATCAGTTACACAACGAGCGCAGCAGGGCAGCAATGACAAACCTTGCCGGCCGCGCACCCGCAACGTCTGTGGCAACAACGGAGGGCGTTTCGCGCAAGCGCGCAAACACAGACCGGCGATCCGCGCGGAAACGGGCAGCGGCAAAGGCCCATGCGTTGTACAGTTGTCGTCCAGACGGCAAGGCGATGGCCCCGCCAGTCTTGATACGCCTACCGGACAGTGAGCATCCCCCGAGCATGCACAATGACCGCTACTGACCTTGCCGCTCATCAGCACAGGGCCGGGTCGCTCGTGAGCGCGCGCGGACAGAATGGCGCTGAAAGCCTAGGGAACAAGTCAGCCAAACACATACCGGCGCGCCCACCTTTTGTCCAGTTGCCGAACAACGAAGCAACGAGCCGCCATTTCTGGAGGCCGCGGCGACGGCTGAGCGCACACATCAGCGACGCGCCAGGCCGACCCTGGAAAGCAAATGGGTCAGCGGACATGGTCCCACGCACAACAACCACGCACCTCGTTGTTCAGATCGTGTCCGCGAAAACGGCAGCACGGGCTTTGCACGGGCGTGATCCTGTTGCAAGGGTAAGCATTCTGCAACGAAAGGAGGTACAGCTAGGCTGACGAGCAGAGGGAACCAGGCGCGAACGACGGGGAGAGACACCCGCCAACAACGACATGGGGGCGAAACGAAAGGAAGTTGACAAGCTGTCGTCAAGGTTCTTATACGTATCCCGGGGGCAGTGCGAACCGGTAACTGCCAGCCGTTGCGAGGCAAAAGGGACCATCAGCAAAAAATGGAAGCGTCAGGGGTAGAAAACTGGGAGAAACACGAGCAAGTGAGGCAAGAAGGCATAGTTAGCGAGGTCGGGAGGGGAGACATGTGGTCGACTGCGGCCCACCGCATGGGATCATTGTTGCCGATGTCCCGACGAACTGAACATCAGCGCAGAAGGCGGTCTAATCACGCCGGTTGTGAGGAAACACATGGCATGGCGTGATCCTTGGCAGTCCGTGCCTGCCTGCGCGTCCGGGAGGAAACGGTGGCCATGATGGCCTGCATCATATGTGCCAACGCCGATCGTCGGAGTTGTGTGCAAGCACATGGCACAGCCGGATCCGTGACTGTCCGTGCCTGCCTGCTCATCCGGGAGGACGCGGCGGCAACCGGTGGCTCACAACAAATGACACCGCTTAGCCTCGGGGGCCCGGAGGCCAGGCCATTGTTGATGGCCTCCTTGCTTGCCAACCTGGGTGCCCGATCACATGCAGCGCAGCTTTTCTGGCAACGAGCTGGGATGCACGCGGGGAGAGTCGGGAACAAGTGATTTTTTTAAAAAAAAATGGAAGTCAGCGACCAAAAAACCAAAGGGAGATCAGAGTCAAGAGGAGAGAAATCAGAAGAGAAGGGAGGAGAAGGAAGGAAAGGGGAGCAACAGCTAAGCGAATACAACTGGTGCTGCCCAACGGGAGGGGGCACATGTGGTGGACCGCAATTTACTACCCTTTCCCGACCAACTGAACATTGGTAAACACATGCGTAGTCTAATCACACCGGTTGCGACGTGTCAGGGGTTACCCGATGTGGCCATGTGCTGCTCATTGATTTGTGAGGCGACGCTTCCGATGAAGCGAACATCAGCGCATCCAACACAAGATCACATGCATATCAACATTTGCAATCGACAGCCCCTCCACCCGGCTCTGAGCTTCGGATGGCAACACTAGTACTTCCGATGAAGGGTCCAGCTATTGTGCATTTTGAATTTTTGACTATGATTCGGGTAAGCCGGGATGCATGGACATCAATCATTTGTAACTGATCCTTGTGGCATGGCCGCATGAAAGCAATTAAAATGTGATATGGCATCAGTCTGGGCCTGGAGCGTTGTCTGGCCCAAGGCCCGAATAGGTCACAACTGTTGGGTATGTAAGCATTTGTCTGACTTACATATATGGCCCAAATAGGTCATGACTGTTAATTTTGTCCATGTTTGCATGATATGTTGACTACCTAACATCTGTTGACAGGGTGTGATGGGCCAGCCTGGAGCATTGATTACGTAAGCATATTAGCCCATGCAATGATTTTACTGTATCAAGTCAACATTTCTGTAAAATCACTGCCTACTAGACCTGACAGAGTGAGATTCTGGACTATGGTATTGTCCTCCAAGGAACTAGATGATTACATAAGCAATCACCTCTTAAGCTCATGTTTCACCCATCTTGATTTTTTGTATCACAAGGTATATCCAGACATCATAACCTTGACCATCTTGTGATAGATCACAATTTAAATTGTGAATTTCTTTCATTCGGAATAGAGTTGAACAAGATCAACTCGACTAATTACTTACATACGCATTAAATCAAGACATATTTTTGCCCTAATTTCTTGTAGTATCCTGACCTATCTCTCATCTTGTCATACCACCATTCTTGCAATATTCCAAGAAAATTGAACTTTTGAACCAAACCCCCCTGTGGAAATTGCTTACATAAGCACCATTTCATCTAATCAGAGCATTTTTCCGCATCATTTTTTTTTTTCTCAAATTAATTGAAAAATCAAATTTCTACTATTTTTATTACACTTTATGATCTGTTTATATTTCTCTAATATGTCAAAAAATTGAGTTTATTAGCTCAACCTATTGGGTAATGAGTGTTGGGAATATAGGAATATATTATTATCCTTCACAGACAGTTAAGCCTTTATTTGCGAATTTTTTGCTATTTTTATTACACTATTTCCAAATTTGTACCATTCTCTAACTATCAGAATGAATTTTCTTGATATTATACTCAAAATTTTTATTGGGATAATAAGTGACTTAAGTGTATTGCTTAGCCTTTTAGAATGAAGAGACCATTGTGATTTGTCGATCATAAATCTGGGCTAGAAGGGCATACTGACCTATTTTAATTGATTCGACAGTCATGTTCGCTCTTTGACAGTCATGTTCGCCCGAATTCATCCCAAAATGGTAATTTTTTCCAAAGTTTCCTAATGGGGAAGTTCATCAGACATGTCACAGCAGTTGGGGCATGTCGAATTGATTAAAATATGACAGTATTTCAGCTGAGCATCATTTGATGATCAATGCTTGACCTCCTTTATTTGATTCCTTGGTTTCACTTTAAAGTCAGCCTTAGTCCTACTGACCCAATCCCATGTGCCCAATACTAACACCCAAGTTGATTGGTTTGGGTGAAAACTTGAATTCATATCATTTTTGTTTTCTTATCATTCAAGTTCTAAATCTGGTAATATTCCTATTATTATCTCTGAAATGCCAGATTGTCCCAGATTTGGAAATTTGGCCATCTTATCATTGGTGCAACCAGGACCTGGACATATAGGTTGACCCTCTGGTTGACTTCAGGGCTGTCATTATCTAATCACTTTAGGGCCGGCTTTGATCTGATCATTCTATTTGGTTATTTGGCACCCAAGGACTTCAGGGCAAGCATGATGAAAGCCTGCAGACAGGATCATGATGGCGGGACTGGCTTACAGTCACTTTAGGGCCAGTCGCCATCGACCTTGTGTTGGCCGCAGTTGATTCTCATGTGCCACTTCAGGGCCGGCTTATGGGGAAGGCCGCAGTTGACTCCCATGCTTCCCGAACGCTGATTAGTGACTTTAGGGCCGGCTTGGATCAAGCTTGGGCCGGCCGCAGTTGATTCCCACCGCTCAGGAACAAAAGCACATGCCCCAGGACGTCGGGATTATGGATATCAAGTGAATTCCCACCATTCCGGGAAGGAACCATGCAGATCATAGAAGTTCTGCGCAGATGGCAACAAGCAACTGCACCATAAAGAAAAATCTTGTGTTAATGCCAAGTCTCTGTCTCACTCTACAAGATTTTTTAAGTAGGAGTAAGTAGTAATAGGCAGGCAGTCTGAGGAACAGACTATTAGATGCAGAGACGGAACATCAGTACCTGCAGATCCATTGATGCAACGATCATAGACTTACACCCGTGAATTTTAACAAATTAACAAGTCCAGATCCGATTTTTTCTTCCCGGTAGCTAGTGAAAAAGTTTTTTTTGATTCTAAACACAGCCACAAAAAATAAGTATTTAATAACTACCTGGACGCGAGACTTGGCGAGCGGAGCGCGACTTAGCGTTGGGACGGGCCGATTCGTTTGGGTCGGTGACGTGAGAAGAAAAATTGGATATTATGGGTCGTGTGATGGAGTGCGTAAAATGCTGCTGCAAAGCACTCGGTAAACTTACCCTTGTTGCGTCAAACTCTTGTTGATACTGCTGCTTTTATGTCCATTTTGACAGTAAGCTCAGAGTTCACTGAGAGTCAACAACACACACAGAAACTCGGGAGAAGCTTCCTAAGTTAGGAGATTACTTAGAGTCCAAAGACGATATATTTACTCCTTCTGTTCAATTAGCAGGTCAGGACTCAAGACAGTGCTAGTGCTGGCCAAATATAATTATATTGATTTATGGGCATAATATATTATAATCATATCATATTCAGCTGCAGAATATGAATATGAAGTTATGAATATATTCAACTATAATCTAGTATGTATATCTCTTGATATACTTGACATATTTACTGCTAGAAATAAATAATAAAAACATAAGAAACATGCTGGATTGTCAGGGCAACTTCCTTTGGCCGTTATATCCATTGTACCCGATCGCTCTTGAACGATATTCCTCGAGGTGGAGTAAGCAAGAATCAACTTGAAGTGCTCAACGTTGACGCAACTTGTCCGTCTAGACACTGGACCATCTCTGGACGACAAAAATTCAGTACATGGAGCGGCATGGATATCGTTCTACGTAGTGTTGCGACGGGACTGATTGCCCATATGCATCGGGGCATTCAATGTCCAGTGTGTCTCGTAGAATGGATGAAGTTTTCGGGGCATAGTGGGGGCAATGTTAAGTCGGTTGATTATGGAAAGTAGAACAGTAGCTAATATATGTTTATATATTAAGAGACAAACTGTTGCTTTGTTGGTCTATTGGGCTTTGATTTCAGTTTTTCACACTGTTCCCGGGCTCGGTTCGGCTGATGGCGCAACAATGTAGTGCCACCCTCCTAATGTATTTCTTCTGATAAAGCCATGTAGTGCCATGTGCCAGTGGCGCAGTGGTACAACGTAGTGCCAAAGCCAGCAGCATTAGCACCAGCCATCATCCTCCCCGCTCCACGCCTCAGGAGCAGTCATCCATAGTCCGTCGGCTGCTAGATTGCCTGGGCGAAAGCGCCAGCGAAATCCTGGACCGCAGGATACAAGCAGGACAACCGTTTGCACTGTCTCCAGCTTGGGGCACGGCGGCCCTATGCGGCTTGCGTGCATGGAAGCCATTGGAAGGACGCGTGAGGGACGCGGTGGAAGGGGCGGCCCGTTCTCTCCTTCCAGGACCGTCCTCCGGCCGCTCTTGGTCGTGGTGGGGCTCAAAAAGCTGAAAGATTGATGTCAACCGATCATCGGATCATTTCGAGTCCGTGACGTGTCCTATCAACCGCGTCTTGTCCCGAACACCCATGCACGACCTCGCTGGTGCCAGTCCGCCAATGGACGTTCTCTCGCCACAGGCGCCTATCGGGGGCCCGTCGGGCACTTGTCGGCCGTCCCCGCTCGCACGCCACCCCTTCCCCATCCACCTTGACTGATGGGTCTGAATGGCCGGCGATCTCGCGGGCTGTTGGCTGTTCTGCGACGACTGTTCTCGGCGATAGCCTCCCGCATTCTCAATGCTCCACATACCCCGCACTTCGCAACGTAACCAGGCGCCAAGCCCGCGTGCTATTCGTGGCCCGGCCCCGGGGAAAACTGGTGGTTATAAGGAGGGCACGGCGTTCTTCCCTTCAAGTTGACACTATGCCTCTTCAGAACGTCTCCGTCCCGTTCGCCAACCTGCTGGGGCTGACGCTCGGCGGGATGATCTACGGCGCCTATCTTATCCTCTTTCTCTCGTCGATCTACCTTTTCGTCAATGGGTACACCGAATACGGGCCCCGCGCCTCTCTCTCGCGCCGCTTCGCCAAGGCGCTCAGGTCGCCGATCGTCATCGCCAGCATTGCGCTGTTTCTGACATCCACCATCGTAAGTCCGACCTGTCTTCTACCTCTCGTCTCCATTGGCTGAGGAAAAGTAGACGTGGGTGATGACGGTCTACCGCAACTTCCGCGGCTGGATCTTCTTTGAAGGCGGCGCGGCGCCGAACGTCTTCTTCAACACGAATGCGGACATCTCGGAGACCGTGCAAGACGTTTTTCTCGCGCTTTCGCTCACGATTGGCGACTCAATGATCGTGGGTTGTTTCCACTCTGTTTGACAAGACGTCTCTCAGATCGCAGATATATCGCCTCTGGGTTGTATGGCGAAACCCATACATCATCGCGCTGCCTGTCCTCTGCGTGCTCGGCTTGTTCAGCAAGTATTCCCCTTGATTTTCGGAGTCAAGCTAATCATCAACCACGCAGTTTCTTTAATCATAACAATTGTGGAAACGACTCGCCTTAGCTTGATCGCGCTGGACACTTGGATCACCCCCACGACAGTCTTCATCCTTGTGTGAGTTCACTGGCATTTCTGCATGACTCAACTTCACTGACGGAAAATGTTCAGCACCAACGTCTACTGCACCGGTAAGACTACGGGTGACATGTGCTCCTGCCTATACTTACGAGACTTGGCATAGCTTGCATCGGATACAAGATCTTCGCAGTCGCCGTGGCGACCACAGGTCACGTCGGGAACCGCAAGCTGACACACTTCCTCGCCATCTTTGTTGAAAGTGCCGCAGGCTACACGTCAGTTTGCTTATATCTGCGCCACCTGGCCCCATGATCATGCCACTGACCGTCTGGCAGCTCCTGGGCGCTGCTTTACACGATCCTCCACCAGCTCGACCGCAACCTGCAGTTCGCGATCCAGAACACGCTCCCCGCGATGCTCGGCGCCGCGAACGCGCTCATCAACGCCCGCGTAGCGCTGGGACGGGCCATCGAGCTGCGCGACGGGGCATACACCACCAGCGGCGCGGGCAGCGCCTCCGCGAAAGGTGGAATTCCGCTGAGCATTCGTTTCGGGCGGCAGGTGCAGGTCAGCGACCCGGCCGGCACGGCGGGGACGCGGAATATGACTGTGAAGACACATACGGTGGTGGGAGAGGGCACGGTCCGGGAGGATGATGGGAGTGTTTCCAAGCCGGAGGCCTTTTGATGCAGAGCTACTTAGGGGCGAAATCGTGGCTGACTAGCGTCCCCAGGAGTCGAGTGTGATTTCTTTCAATACATCCGTCTTCCCACATCCAGGGGAAATTTTCCCTTCCAGGCTGCCTACTAAGTAATAATTATATTCCGCTGAAAACCGTCAAATATGAATATAATTATGCATTCCAGATATTATAGTATACTTATATCATATTCACCTACATATTGAGGGAGATACCTGATATATTGGTAGTATATTATATTTATACTCAGCTATAAATACTGAATATGATATGAATATATTCAAATATATTGTTATAATTTTTAGCGACTTATAAATTAGCTGAAACTTGATATTCATATGCCCACTATGACCACTTATGCCCACACACAGAACACATGACGGAAAAGCACAAAAAACGACTCAATTGCCCCCCAAAAAAAGTCCCAAATAAAAATAATAAAAAGTACAAAAAGGAGAAACAAACCCCCGATGGAGAGGAACATGAACAGGGCTTGAGCAACTGGCCTGGCGGCAATCTGCGGTGGCCCTCTACTCCCACAACTCCAGCTGTGCAAACCCCAAGTTGTCCACAGGCTGCACAGCCCCGAATGCATCGGTCATGCAGGTGTACTAGTAGAACTGAACCATTTGGGTGGCCGACAACCGGTGGCACAAATAATGCATCAACTCAAAATCTGCCGGCTGCATCAGCATTTGTGTTGCAGACTGAAGAGAGCGCAACGTGCCGATTGAAAGGGGAGCATCCTGCAGCCGGGTTGGTCAACAGCTGATGCTGGATTGTTCAGCAAGCAGTGCGCCTCCGCGACTGCCTGAACTGACGAGGGCTTCCCAAACCAGGGTACTTCTCCAGCCGAAACTGTGCATTCTCTGCCACCGGTAGTGCTGGCCAGAATTATATTATGCTTGATTAAATATTGAATATATTCAGAATATTATGAATATATTATGCACTTCGTGGATCACTTGAATATGATTATGTTTGAATATATTATATTATATTATGACTATGCTATCGCAGAATATTCAACTATAGTAAGGTGGATGATTACAGCTATTTTCTCAGTCTATGTACTCAGTCATAGTACTAATCTTAGTCTAAGTTAGCCCTACTTCTGATAAATGTCACATATTATCTATTATATATGGTGATTCATACATTACCCTTAGTAGGAACAAATGTCAGGAGTGATCACTTTGGGTTGACCTATTAAACATAGTGTAGGACCTCTGATCAAGTGTCTACTGGCTAACCTAAGACTAGTGACAATACCCCTGATTGTATTTTGAGAGTCCTATGTAACCCAGGGAGGCCCAAAAGGAAGTTGCACTGACAATCCAGCATATATTTTATGTTTTTGATTCCTTTTTCTAGCAGCAAATATGTCAAACATATCAAGAGATAGACATACTAGATTATAGTTGAATATATTCATAACATATTCATATTTTGCAGCTGAATATGATTATATTATACTACGAATATATTATTGGGTTGGAGCTCTGAATATGATATGATTATAATATATTATGCCCATAAAATAATATAATCATATTTGGCCAGCACTAGCCACCGGAAGGCCAGCCCGACTGGAGCTGGACCCTATCACGGGGCATTCTGTCCCCTCGGTGAGGGCCAGCATGGGAACTGATGGAGAATGAGAAGGGCTTGCACGATGAGGGGATACTGAGGGCTGAGCCGGGGCAACAACCTCGAACAGAGTATTCTCGTTTGAAACCTCAATTACGGACGTGGCACGGGCCAAAATGAGCAGACCAGCTAACATCTCAAAGTCCGGGAATGAACCCATGGACACATTGTCTGAAACATCGGTGTGTATCATGATGATGTCCGGAATGGGAGGAAGGGGCAAACAGGCAAATGGGCATCCAAGGACGCTGGGAGGAAAGGATAGGGGCCCATTCGCCGAACTCCGGGAGGTCGGCCAGGGCCATATGCCAAATAACCCCAGGGCTGGGGGGTGCCACCCCTATGTCCGGGGTACCAACTTTTCTACAAACGACAACTCTGGGAATAGCATTTCAGGGGCACCTTGGTGGACCTCTTGACAAAGTGCAGACCAGCACGGCAGCGGAAATCAGGCATAAACCAGCTAGACTGAATAGGCACGGGTCAAGTGTAAGCTGACCCATACCCGTACCCGTACGGGTCAAACCCGCCAACCCGCGCGGGTCAGCCGGACCCGTGCTCATCCCTAGGTGCCATCGACTTATCGGGCCCGCCACGACCCGATTCGAACCTTCGACCATCGCCAACGACAAGGGACCAAGTTAACGGGCCCTTTCAGTTTCGATTTACCCCGCTCGCCGTACTCACAGGTCCGACTATCCGTCTGTTCTGTTCCGGGCGCGCGTTCTTAGGAGAGGACCTTGCACAGCCCGGCCCGCAGTCTGACAGGGGGCATGGAGAGGGAACTTGAACGAACAACACTGGGAAGGGGTGAGGACTCAGGCCGCCGGCGGAGCGTTCTATGTTACTATGTGGAAAGACACCAAAAAGGAGGTAGAAGTGAGACACCCCAAGGGCACCTCAGTCTACCCTGAACCTAGACCTCTTAGGGTTATCAACCCCCCTCAAACCCTCCACCTAAGAGGCCCCAGAAAGTGGAGCTCTTCCACTGGCTGGGATTTTGCCACTGGGGGTGGAGGGTACGTCGCGGTCATGGGAGCTCAAGAATATGTTCACTAACTCCCAACATATCTTCTCGTCATCTCATTTCATTTATCTGAAGAGTGTCTGTTAGATATTGTGTTGTTTTATCTGGCAGAGAAAGACTATAATAAGAGCAGATGCAAGGAGCCACCCACGTCGTCGCGGTCACGGGACCTGTCGCGTCGCGGTCATGGGGATTCAGGAATATCTGCACCTTATCCACTCTGGATGTGTCTTCTCCCTCATGCATTTCAAGAGTCTTTGTTCGATCAGTCTTGATGCTGTGTTATTATATGTAGACAAACTAAGTATCAGACGCAACGATGACTCCATCCATGTCGCGTTGCGTAGCGGTCACGGGACCTTTCGCATCGCGTCGCTGTGGAAGTGTGGAATGTCCCTTACGTAGCTTTTCCTTATGAGGCTGTTTCCGCTTTAGGATGCCCATCATCAATATTTGATGTGGCTATTTGTTTGTAGTCTACATCATCATTTAATAGAACTCCTCACACCCCAACCACCACCGAGTTCGCAACCAGTGCTGAGATTGCTCCACCGAGGGCAGGTTGCTAGTGAACATCGAGCCCCCGACCACCAGATTCTTGCGCTTTTCGAGTCCCCGAGCCCCCGAGCCGAGCTTCACGACTGGAACGAGTTTCTGTGATTTTACCTTCACTTTTGCTTTCACTCTTACACGAATTCTTCCACTCTTTTCCCTCCGAAATCCTTTCATTCGTGCTCCCCCAATCCCGGACATATCGACCGTTCTTCTGGCGAACACTGCACAAGCCAGTACTTCCACAGTGGTGACCACCGCAGGGGGAAAGCTCTTCTATCCGGGCTTTCCTTGGTCGAGACAAGCATTGTCCGTGTGTCTTTTACATCTTCTACACTCCCTTTCCCCACTTTCGAGCTCTTTCCTTCACATTCATGCCCTCCGACGACGAATCCCTCACTCTCGAGCCCACCACGCGTTTCCCTGCCCACTTCCACGTTGCAACGAGCCCCATCACACACGCGGCACGGAGATCTCTCGCGAACAACAGCAGAATTCTCACCAGTGGCGTCGGCCATCTCTATATGGCCGTTCCGATCAACAACGTGCCCGAAATCGCTCACGCACGCCAAAATACGGTCCGAGGAGCGAGCCCGATCACGGCCGGAGCTCCCGGAGCGATTCCCACGGTCAATTCCACGCGTTTTGCGCCTTCTGCTTCACCAAACTCGCCGAAAACTATCCACGGCGCTTCCGCGAGCGAGGCCCGAGCGCCGAGCGTCGTTCCCACGCCCAAATCGCCGCGTTCTGCCACCCCGAGCAAGCCACGATCGCGCCGCTGCTTCGTTTGCGGCCGGAGCAACAACCACCCACTCAGCTTCCGTTTCTGCCCGCGCACGCGCACGCTCTTGCGCCGAGCGCTCGCCCGACTCGATGAACGAGGCAAGCTTGTGATGCCTGATGGATCCGCGCTGCCGATGACGCGACACGCCGGTGGAGTCGCTGGACACCTCATTTCCGCGCATAACGCTGCGCTTCGCGTTTCTGAGCGTCCCGAACCACCACAACCGCTTGCTCGACGTCCAACACGCCTTCCAACACCATCTGAGCCGACTCCTTCTCAAGTTCTGCCACCAACTGAGCCGATTCGCGCTGCTGAGCACACCGGCCCGCTCAATCCGAGTTCCTCCCATCCCGAGATCGCTCCGCCTGTTTCCCACGCCCCTCGCCGACGTCACGCGCATCGAACCAACCAGCCGCGCATGCTAATGCCGTGCGTCCAGTGTCAACGCACCAAATGGATGCAGTCCATTCAGACAATGCTGTTCGACAACGCCCTTCGAGCCCACTTCACAGAGATGATCACCACCTTGAATAAGCTTGATCCTGACACTCTGGCGGCGCTTTCTGACAAAATGATGGCAACTCACACACTCCCGCCGTGTTTCATCCATGCTCATCTCTCGCAACCAACCGTGTGTCCATTTGGCTGAGTACTTTCGTTGTTGGCTTCCGATCCATTCCCACTTCCATTCCGGTGATCTCGAGGTCGAGATTCGAGTTCCTCCCACTGTGGAAGTGTGGAATGTCCCTTACGTAGCTTTTCCTTATGAGGCTGTTTCCGCTTTAGGATGCCCATCATCAATATTTGATGTGGCTATTTGTTTGTAGTCTACATCATCATTTAATAGAACTCCTCACACCCCAACCACCACCGAGTTCGCAACCAGTGCCGAGATTGCTCCACCGAGGGCAAGTTGCTAGTGAACATCGAGCCCCCGACCACCAGATTCTTGCGCCTTTCGAGTCCCCGAGCCCCCGAGCCGAGCTTCACGACTGGAACGGGTTTCTGTGATTTTACCTTCACTTTCGCTTTCACTCTTACACAAATTCTTCCACTCTTTTCCCTCCGAATTCCTTTCATTCGTGCTACCCCAATCCCGGACATATCGACCGTTCTTCTGGCGAACACTGCACAAGCCAGTACTTCCACATCGCGTCGCGGTCACGAGTACTCGGGAAGATGTTTAGTTGTCTTCAAGACTAGATTATCCAAGGCAAGTGATGATTTCAAGTTGGTACTGATATCGAATACAAAGCAGGGGGCGAATACACAGCAGCAAATACACAGCAAAGAATACATGAGCATTATTCAAAACCCGGAATATCACGAAGCACACCCAATCGAATCTCCTTCTGCAAAGACGACAACGCGACCCGACAGTCCTGGAAAGTTCTCCAATCATCTATGCCCCAGCAAACCTCAGTGTGACGATCCGCCTCAGTCAGTTGCTCTCCGGGGACCTCAAAGAACCCGAAGGACTTGAACTCGCCAGACACGATGTGCTTGCTGCCTATGTCCCGGAAGAAGCGGCACTGAACGCTCCGGCGGCCCGGCCAAGGGGTGGCTTCGACTTCTTGGGTAGATTCGGGCTGCATGGAGGAGGAAGATTCGATGGCGTTGACGACAACAACGGGGCTGGGCTTCGCGACGACAACAGCGGGGCTGGGCTTCGCCTGGGACTTGGCGACAGGAGCGGAGGTTGCGGACTTCCCCGCGTTGGCCACAATAGCGGTTCGGGGACGCTTGGCCTGAGGTGGTTCGTCGTCATCCTCGTCCTCGTCCATGTTGCTGACATCGGTTGGACGAGCGCGCTTCTTGCTGACAATAGCCGCTTTCTCCTGCTCCTTCACTTTCGCACGCAGAGTTACGAGCATGGTCTTGGAGGCGCTTGCTTGCAAAAGGACGGAGTTATCGTCGGCAACGACAACGGGGACGTTGCTGGGGTCGGTCATGTCGATTTCATCTGATAAGTAGATTAGTTTCCTGAAATCGAGAACAATAAGCGCTTACCTTGCGTCCACGCCTCGATGCGAGGAATATCTGCAAACTCGTCGTCCAAAACTCCACCCGCATTGTAGGCAGTCAGCATATCGTCGACCATTTGCGCGAACGCCTTTGTTTCGGTCGTGTCCTCTCCGTCGGCAGGGGCCTGATTCTTGATGTTCTCCAACCGGAAGTTGGGACCAGGGAAACACCCAGTCCGTTTAAGGGCTTTAGGCCAGAAAACCCATCGCAAATGGAGGAGGGTTGCAATTTCAGCCCAACTCTGCCATCCCATTTGACTTAAGAGTTCCGCGGCTTCGGTGCTGGTGATATCGAGAAGTTCCATTAGAACGAGACCTATTGAAGCGTTAGAGAAGAGGTGGGGATTAAGCGAGACACGCACGAGCGCAATTTAGAGCCAGTGCGACAAACAGCTTTCGACGAAAATCGCGAGCCTTCTGCCCGGGCTTCATGGTCGGGAGGATCACTGGGTTAGTGCGCGTCTTTTCTCCACTAACTTCGAGGTTGACTTCGCGACGAGTAGCACTGGTAAGGAATCAATAAAATCCAGAGCAGTGGAAATGGACAAACGCGAAGAGATCCATCAGCGCGACCGTATGTTTTTCCAATTCTTGCGGATGTCGCTGCTTCATTTCATCGTAGAGGGGACTTCCGCCGAACATCAGCCCGCGATTGTTGACTGAAGCCAGGTCGACGCATAGGCCGAGGACCTCCCAGCCCCGTCGCAAGCTGAGTTGTTGACTCTGTACCAGCGTCAATAAATGGCGGGACAGCGGAGACGGAAGCATTACCTGGCTAATTAGAGGTTTGAGGTCGTGTTTCATCATAGTCATGGCGCCGTGTTTTTTTTGATCTCGGTGGCGCTGCTGAGATTTGAGTCCAAAAAGAACTCCACATATTCTTTCATTGCCTCTGCGCGGGCTTGTTTGTCATTTCGTTGGTCTTCGGGAAGCTTGTCGAAGATCGCATAGTACGCAGCCGCGTACGCGAGCGCGATATTGAGCATTTGATTCTAGAAGGAGAATGAGACAGAGCAAGAGATACTGGCAATAGCGACAAACCTCCGTCGTTTTTGGGCATTTTAACCCTTGCCCAGGCCTGAAATGCGGCCCAGGGGTTAATGCCACGAGCCCAGTGGTTGTCCACGCCGCCCGCCCTTGCTACAGTCGCCACGCTCTTGTTGTTTTTCGCGCGCGATATCTTCCAAGTCCGCGTACATCTGGGCCACCGCCGTCTGAGCGATCTTAGTCGCAGCGGCAGAGAGAGGGCCTGGAACAATGGTCCACGTTTCGCCATCTCCTTCCTCTTCAGAGGGAGACTCGTCTCCAGAATCGATGACATCGTCGAGGGCACGTGACGGCCTTGCCTTAGCCTTGCCCTTGGCCTTGCCCTTGGCTTTTGAAGGGGAGTCGCGCGGTGGAGGACTCGCACGGGTGTCTTGGTAATACTCGCGTAGATCGTCCTTCTCGATTTCTTCGTCGGTCTGCGCGATGCGAGGCTTCCCAAGTGCTTTCGCCAGACGATTTGCTTCCACCAGCTTGAGATGCTCCTGCGCCCGCACTGTAATGAAGTCGGGATCGCGGTCCGAATCGTCGCCGTCGTCATGATTGTCATGCAAGCGAGGCCGAGTAACAGGGGACTCGGGAGACTGAGGAGAAGTCGTGCCGGGCGCGATCTAAGAGGGAACGTGGCTTGGGAGACACGGTAGCTTCTTCGCGATTTTGGGTGCCACTCGGGCCAGCAACAGGGGGAGAACTCGGGCCAGCAGTGGGGGCAGACGTTGGAGGCAAACGGAGATTTTGGGTGCCACTCGGGCCAGCAACGGGGGGAGAACGCGGGCTAGCAGTGAGGGCAGAAGTTGGACGAGTTGGACGCAAACGAGGAGATGTCGGAACGAAGCGAAAGCCTGAATCCGTTGACCAAAACGGCTTGGTGGGTCGACGCGGTATGGACACTTCTGGGATAAGCCGAGGGGGAGGTGGTGGCGGTAAGAGCACATCTCGGAAAAGCTGAGGCGGAGGTGGAGGTGGAACCGCCCAGTCAGTGGGGATCGTTAGAGATTCTGAACGTTTGATGACGACGGCTGGTTTGCTGACAACGGCTGGTGGTGGGGGAGTGCGGTCATCGCCGCCAAAGTACCTCACTACTGGGCGAGGGGTTGGAGACTGGGCGTCCGTTTCATCTTCAGTGGTCGTCACTGGCGGTACGGCCTCAGCGTCCGGCTCTTCCTCGAGGTCGCGGAGCAAGGCGTCTTCATCGTGGATTGTTTCTCCAAGCGGTTCGAGATCAAAGTCTAGGTTTTGCTCGTCTGCATCCTCAACGTTGCCAGTTTGGGCAATCGAGGGGTCTGCAGCGGCATCTTCAGCGGGATCTACAGCGGGGTCGCCGTCTGCGAAGCGGGGATCGTCAGGATCGTCGGCGTCGATGACGGCTAGGTAGCGCTGAGGGCGCTGTGCACGATTCTATGAAGATCGTCAGCGTGTTGGCGGTCTGGAGTCGGGGTCGACGCACCTTCTTCCCCCGTTTTCTCTTCGGCGGAGGGGCTATCTCGAGGTCCGAGGCCGTGGCAACATCCTCCTCGACAACGTTCTATAGATAGGTCAGCAGGTGATCGCCGATGCTTGGGACCCACACACTTTTTTAGCTCGGCGAGCGGCCTTTTTCTTAGGTGGTGGGGGCGGAGGCGTTGGCGACGGCGGGCCTCTGAGGCGAGTACGAGCCATGGTGAAGGGGGAAAATGCCACCATCGTGCCAGCGCAGCGAACTTATACTCGATTTTGCGCGTCGACAATGCGCAGTCAATGCATGAAACTTCCACCATACAAAGCTTGTCGAATAACATTCGTATATTCCAGAAGGTTCGCTATCAACTACATGTAAGGTATCTCGTGGGAGGTCTCTAGCTAGCGTTAGTACTTTGAACAAGAAAAGAAATAAGTCCAAGCACTTACCGTTCCTTCCCTTCACGCAACGTGCTCGCCGCGACGCGTCTCTCTGTCTATCTCGCCTCCATTTAGGGCGCTCTAGCGTGGCCGCGGGCGGAAGGTACAGCGGCCGCGCCTTGCAATGTGGGCGGAGGCGGTGGGCGGGATACGGGGATGACGTGGCGGGGAAGGTGGGAAAGCGAAAGAAGGAGGTGGAAAAAGTTCCCACGCTCGGCCAGCGGGGTCAGTCGGAGCGTTCGGAGATAAGTCCAAATTTGGACGCGGGTCCATGCGGGTCCATGCGGGTCCACTCGGGTTCCAGACCGGGACGGGGTCCAGCCGGGTTCTATTCGGGTCCATTCGGGTCGTCCAAATTTGGAGTTATCTCCGAACGCTCCGACTGACCTTGCTGGCCGAGCGTGGGAACTTTTTCCACCTCCTTCTTTTGCTTCCCCACAATCTCCCGCCCCGCCCGTTCCCTTCCCACTCGGCCGCGACCTCTGGTAAGTGCCTCCCCTGCCCGCTGGTCCTCCCTGCTCACCTCGCGTAACCACAGGGGCGCGTGTACGTCCTCGCTGGCAAGCCACGTCATCGATACTTCGACGACGCCGACGAAGACACCGGTGAGTTAAGTTTTCGCTGCCCCGACGAGGTCTCATCGCCGTATGCGAGCAGCAAGCTCTCTGTCTCTCTTTCGACACGCGTCGGTCTTTTCTCGGCACGCGCGCCAATACTGACGCGCCCCTTCGGCGTCGGCCGCTAGGTGCGCGACCTCATCTTCATCATTCTTGCACTAACTTCGTTTCAGTCCACAAAACTGGGCTATTTGGACTGCTGCTGGAGTGTGTTGTGGACCGTATCACACATAGCTACTGCCTTACCCTGATTTGCAATGGAGCCACTTTTCCTACCTGACCCTGACGATGTGATGCTAAGTCCACCGCCGTCTCCCAAACCGCGGAGGCCTGTTAGTACATTTCTTGATCTCGAAGCTGGGGACTCTGGTATTGCTGAAGGCGAAAGCGAAGAATCTGAGGAAGAAGGCTGGATCGACGACCGCTTTATCGATGAGGCGGACATGTCAGCGATGCGCCAGCCGCGCAGCGCTAACTTCGGACTCGACAACAACATCGACATTGGGGCTGCTATTCAGGAAATTATGGCCAGAGCGCCATCTTATGCACAACAACTTTGACGAGAACGAGAACGCGATGAGGACGGAGACTCCGTTATGGATTCGGCTTCATCAACATCGTCGTCTACATCGACATCCCCAGAAGACAAGAACGCCAAACATCGCGTTGAACGACCACACCCAATCCCCTCACCGTCTGACCCCCCCATGTTCGCTATTCGAGTGCGACCGGGAGACGAGTGGGCGCTCGTCGTGTACACGATGTTCCAACCAGGAATTATCAGCGTGGGCACCTGGAGTATTGGCAGTGGCATTGTCTTCGCGGAGACACGCGACTTTGCTCGACCAGGACAGCCAGGCTATAAAAATGCGCTGGAGGTGCTTTCAGACGCGCTCCGTTCTTGGCCGAAACGTCGCAAGTACAAAAGAACCACTTTGTTGGTACCCCGAGCAGTTGCACCAGCAGAGCAACATCTTCTGCTTCGTCTACCCAGCGATCCATCCTACTACGACCCGTTCGCCATTGGTCGCCGCTGGATTCGAATAACCCATAACACTCTTTACAAAGGCGATCTCGCTTTCCTCGAGGAGCAATCAGAAGCGGGCTTGGACGAGTCTGAGCTTTCGGCGCTGGTTATACCACGGATCGCCTTTACATTCGATGATCACCAGCGGACGCGCCCATTGCCCCGCTTGTTCAACGAGGAAATGTTTGAGCGACACCTTCCTCAACAATTACTCTTGCGTCAAAACCTTGTTTGCATCTGGAGGGGCCGTATGTTTGGACGAGCTGGAACCGTGGCTTTCCCTGGGCTAGAGAGAATCCAGCTCAAAAGATGGCATTACCGGGTAGCTAACCCCGCGTATACTCGAGACGCTCGACCAACAGAAGAAGAAGTCGACTTCTTTCGATTGTCTGCAGCTCCAGAGCTCGACGTTCCCTTCATAGGGTCCACCTGCGCGTTGCAGGAAGGGGACCGTGTTGTTGCAATTCGACCACGGCCTCACGTCGCTGGAACACTGATTCGCATTACTAGTGAGATTATCGACAATCGAAAGCGAAGGCTGGGTATTATTTCAAAGGAATACGACGGCACGACTTTGCTATCTCCACAGTCTCCCCTTCTCGCAACGGCACTAGTTTATCCCCTCTCCGAACTACGACTCCATTTACTCGCTCACCAAAGATGGGTTCACTTTGGAGACCGAGTCAAGATTGTTGGAGGTCCAAGTTATCGAGGGCAAACAGGACGGATAACCCAAGTCAATGGAGACAGTGTCACCATCGTCGTCCTCGTCGAAGAGAAGCCCGCGCCTGAGATAGTCAAAGCAGATGCGACGGAACTGGCCACTGAACCGGTAGTGCAAGATGCCCAGTTACAATCGAAGCCCATTCAAGAGAACAAGTCGCCCCCCGCCAGAGCTCGAGAACTTCGAAGTCGAGCTGCCCCTGCGTTTTGTGGCCCACGACTTCCAATGTGGCGATTTGGTTCGTGTTATTCGCGGCCCGTATAAAGGGCGCATGGGGCTGGTGGTCGAGGTTCACATCGGTGGCTGGATAACATTCTATGGGGTTAGTTGTTTGTCTGCGCCTTTTATTTTAATTAACCTAGACCAGGGCCAAGTCAAAGGCCACTCTTTCGAGATATCGAATCCGTTGGACGTGGAAAGCGGAGCCGCCATTGTACCCCGCCCCGGATCCCGACTTCATCGACGAGTTGCTTCTTGAGTGGAACGAGGCATTGGCGCTCGACCAACCACAACGCGTGCGGCAGGACAATCATCGCGTGTCGGGCATCCGTATTCCCACTCACTCGATCGAGTTCGAAGACTGGCGCGACTCCACAGTCGAAGCTTTCAACAGAGCCGCCTGAGTACTGGCAGCGAGTGGAACGTCAAAAGCGATATCGGCGTCAATCTCTGCGGGACAACGAGAATTGGTTGAGAAACTCGCGGATCATGGTCTCTGGCCCCCACTATCTCAAGGGGCGATATGGCACTGTGCTTGACTACATGTGGAAAACAACGCGACCTGACCCTCATTTGTACGGGCCAGACTACTCTCAGCTGATGCTACTGCTTGTTCTGGAAGCTGGTCAACAAGAAGTCCTGCTGCCCTACAACTACGTCGTAGAGGAAGAGACGTGGCAACTTCTACATGTCGCCAAGTTTCTCGGGGACGCCTGTGAGTTGATTAATGTCCGCGTCCGGCCCATTCCACCATCCGCGCCCACCCCCACGAATGACCCCGATCTCGAGCTTGTCGATGTGCCAAGAACGCCTACCCCGCCCCCACCGCCTGACCCGTTCCTCCAGATGTATGGCGCCCCGCCTCTCATCGATGAGCTAAACGGGGGTTGGTTGCTGCTGCCGCAACTCGTTGAAAAACGAGTAGACGTTCGGGTCGTAGATGATGCAGGCCTTCAATATGTTGCCCGACGCTTCTCCCGCCTCAATAGTCTTATGCGAAACCCACAAGACGCGGCCGCCAATAGCGTGGGGCACCTCTATCCTCTCGATAGGCCCTTGACACAAGAATCGATGGAACGGAATCTCATTGCATTCATCAAGGAGCCTACCAACAAGAAGATAGCTATGCCCGCGCCCGCTCTCGTCCCGTGTCGAACGACCGAATCAGGCGCATCTATTAGCGCTAGCCCGGGACGGGTCATTATTATCGGCCCGGATATTTCGGGATCCACGCAACGTCTTGGCCAGTATGCGCTTGTCTTACCGAGGGAAACACTACATTGGGAGCGGGTGGTTAAGGTGCAGTTTCCCGTAGAGCCGACGGGCCCATTTGGTGCCATGAATCGGCCACAAGAACTCTTTCATCTTGTGTGTTTGTGCCGAGCTGAGAATGAAGACATTGGCGATATCTTAGCAACCAACTTTAACTAGCATCATGTAACCGATACATTAGAAGTTATAAACACTTGTACAGACGACTACAAAATGTACATTATATTCCACTAAATCTCCAGATAACCCAAATCGGCTTCGATGCGTTGGCAAAGGGCGTCATGGCGTTGGGCAAGAAACGCTACTCGAAACTTCGTCGGGGAAGCATGGAACCAAAGGAGCAAGGCATCCAAGTGCTCGTCCGAATATGGATTCTCATTGGAGGCGGAGTCGAGGCGGGTCTGTGCTTCGGTTTGCGCGGCTTGGACAGCGTCGAAGTCTTGGGCGAGCTCGAATGCGTAGTAAGACGCTTCATAATTGGGTTTAGGAAGAACTGGTAAGCAATTGGTTAGGAATATTGAAACAACGATAATGATAATAACACACTGCTTGTGATAGTGTTATCGTTGTCGCAAACATATCGCAGCTCGCCGTTACGACTGGCATTGATTACTGTGGAGAAGGTAAGCGCAGAACAACGAGGAAACGCAGAGGACAGACACCAAGCAGCGGCAGTCGGGCCGAGGTCGAGATGCGCAATAGCTGCCATCACTTGGGCGTCGGAAGCCTCCATAGCGACGTGCCCGACGCGGCTGGTGAGCGGGGATGAAATAGTGGCGAATATCATGGCGAGGGAACGCGTGCGACATGGTGAGGAGTTGGTCGATGGGTAAGTCGTGAACAGGCTAGCCCTGCTGCACTTATATACCCTCACCACAGTAGGAGGACAATGCGGTGGGCGCATTGATGCGGTTGATTGCCACGGCTGGGCCTCAAGGCCGATGTTGATCACACGTGATGGCCAGCTCGGACCGAATGCCACCGAACGGTCGCAACACCTCCTCTCATCATGCGATTACCCACTAGCCACGTTCAAAAGCTTCAACGAGGAGAAGAACTCGGAGGTGGCGGGCACGAGCAGCTCTCGCCACTTCGCCATCGCAACAACCAGTCCCCTAAGAAATCTGGCATCATGGCCATCGGCAGCCGCGACCGGACTGCGGTCTTGCACCGTGCTCACAAACCTCTACGCTCGCCGACCAAGACTGCCACGACCAGCAACACCTGAAGCCCTGCCACAGCCAGATTTTCTAACCTATGAACCCGAACCCGATATACCTGGAGTTGCGTCTCAAAAACGTGCTGCTCAATTCTATAATTGGTCGCAAATGATGCCCAAGTTGGTGCAAGATTTGCTGGAGATTCAACACAAGACTGAATCCCTACGCTATATTGAACGGCTTTCCGCTCCCGTTCGTCACTGCCCCTGCAATAAGAGAGTGTTGAAGGTGACTCTGATACAATTTAACGGTGAGACTTTTGCGACATTCCTTACCCATTGTTAATTCCAATGTAGTCATCAGCGAAACCACGCTCCAGCTCTGCACCTGCAGCAACGCGGCTGCCCCGAGGCAACTACTTCGAGCTGGATTCTTTGCTTGCAGTCCGTGTAATCCAACACTCGCCGTCGACATCACTCTGCTTGACTTTGTGCGAAACCTGTTTCTGCACATTTCTCCCAACAACACAGCCTTTTGCCGTGCGCTTGAAGGGACACTGGCTGAACGAGGGCTAAGGCTCTTTAGCGGTGTATGTTTCCTTCTCGGTTGGCGATTTGAGCACGCTAATACTGGCACAGGAACTTCGCCTTCGATTCAACAACGCCCTACAATGGTATACTCAGGTCGTAGTAATGGCGCAGAAACACATCGACAATGCTCTTGTTGCTGCTCGTACACTCGCCCGAGATGCACACGATGCAGACACGGAGGCGCTGGTCCAAACAAGTGACGAGCGAGAGGAAATGGCCCCAGAGATGCCCCACCCACAAGTAGCATTCTCGTCTTGTGGCCAAAAGCGTAGTCGGCATGAACTTGATCGCGACGCAGAAGACTCTGAGGACGAAGCTCGAAAGCCACCATCCAATCCATTCCCCGACCCTCCTCCACGCTCCAGACCTAGCGACTACCTAATCAGTAAATGTCCAGCGTGTTTCGCTGGACTTAAACGCGATGCCACTCAAGTGTATGATGTGGCTGTCTGCATAGACGGAAACTTCACCCAGAAACGGCGCAAACAAGCCCGCGGAAGCGGTCCCGATCCCCCGAGAAGGCATCCAGATAGTGTCTTTATTGACAGGGCAACAGCTAATGCAATGGAAGCGTATGTCGAAGGAGTGAGAGCGCCGTCTGGCCGAAGCCAAAGGAAACGGGCTAAACCAATGGACGATCGCATGGAGGATGAAGAAGATGGTTACGAAGGCAACTTAAAGGTGCCGCGGTCAGCACTCAACGCCTGCGAAAAGTCATTCAAAGCCGCTGATGAGTCGCGAGAAGGCGAGCACTCGTTTCTTCACTGAAACGGGCCTTATGGCTCTCGTCTGCCGCCACGATGTCCCTTTATTTCTCGTCAATATGCATAGCGCTGGGGAGAAGCAATACTACGTCTTCCTCCTCATCGAACAGCTAATGCAACATCTGCCGCTGAGCATCAAACTGGGATTGCTGTACGATATCTCCTGCCTAACCGAGCGGTCTTGCGAGAAATGGGGCTTCCTGGATCGCTACAAGGACCGAATCGCCTGGGCCGTCTCGGTTTTCCACGCGTTTACCCACATCTGGGCATGTCAGCTCATATACCATCCCCAAAAGTGTGTGGGGTTTGGGGAGGAAAACGGAGAATGTGCCGAGCGAGTCTGGAATTCGATCTGCCACCTAATCGCTCATCTCCGCGTTTGTGGGGTAAGTCTGTCTTGTTTGTTGGGTCGATTACATCAACTAACTGTTTACAGGAAAATCAACGTGTCTTCGTGCTGGATCTCCAACTTGCACACAATACCCAGAGAACATTGCAATCTCTGGGCTCCTGGCTTCAACGCCGAACCCTTCATTGCGAGGCAAGCCTTCGAGAGGCGGAGAAGGCGCTGGAGGCCTGCCCGCTATCGGAGGCAGAGCTTCTGGCCAAATGGCAGGAACAGGTGGCATTTCAAACCCAGCCCATTTCACATTTGTCTTCCGAGCTCATGAAGCTTCAATCGTACTCATTGATCCCCAGGTCGGTCCAAAAACCAAGGGCAGCAAACAATCAATGCTGTCTTTGCCGCAGAACGCAGTATCGAAACGCTGAGCAGCAAGATTAGAAAGCTGGAGCTCTCTCTGGCCGAATTGACGGGGGACCAAGCTCTAGCACAGCAGGAGCGTCTTGCCGAGCTCGAGAGCGCCCTCCGCAAGGTCAAGAAGAACAAGCGGAAGAACGAGAACAAGCTAGGGACTGGCGACACGGCAACACTGAAGCTGCTTCGCTACAAGGAGTACTTCTCCGAGGTCGTGAATGCCTCTACTGGGCATGAGCGGATTCTCCAGAAGTTTCGCGCTCGCAAGATGGAGTTCGACCCCATTGAGCGTTCAGTGCGACGCTCCAGCAGCGGTACGAGGTTTCTTCCTGGATGATCTTCAAAAGTTGACAATAATTAGAGAAAAAGAAGAACGAGCATGCTGCTGCTGCGATTAAGAAACGCGAGCCTGGTTTGAAAAAACTAGTGAAAACTTACAACACTTCGGTCAAGAAGATAGAAAGACTCATCAAAAGTGGCAAGGCACCGCCCAAAGCCCTTGCTCCACTTGAGTTAGACGAATCGGACGTGTTCTCCCTCGACGCCAGCGATGCATTGTGGCTGGAGGTTGGACTTGGTGGCTTACCAGAGGACGGCGAACTTCCTGAGGCGTTAATTAACGCTGAGCTGAGGGGGTGGATTCGCGCTCCATCGCAAGCAACGGGCGATAGAAGAGTCAGAGCGGTTGAGACGCGAGCATGGACACCTGAGGGTGTGGTTTTCTACAGAGTGGGCAGCTCTTGGAGAGGCTTTGGCTAATTGTAACGAAGGTATGTTACTTAACTTTGTTTTTATCAAGTCCTTATTATCCTTAGAGCCCTTGGGTTATCAGCTTCTCTGTCGGCGTGAATTCCTCCTCGATCTATTATTGAAGTGGAAGCGCTCACTCGACTCGTTGGTCGTGCCACCTGGTGTCCCAGACTGGGGTCCATCAAGTGATGCGATCTTGAGAGCGCGATTAGCAAGGCTCCCTCCAGCAGAAACCGAGGATGGAGGTTCAGATTCAGGGAGTGAAGGAGTCTTGGAGGAAGATGCGGAAGATGATCCAGCACTCATTCCAGTTCTGAGCCTGTTGGATCGGGGAGTTGTAGAAGAAGATGGGGAAGCTGGAGGAGAAGAAGATGACAATGACTTTTTTATTACCTGAATGTATTCCCATAAGCTATGCTAAAAGCGTGTTCGTTCAGAGTGACTGAGGTCCCATGACCGCGACGCGACGCGACACGTCCCGTGACCGCGATACGATGATCGTGGGCCCCCTGGAGGAAAAGAAGTTTGCGCCCATGACCGCGACGCGACGCGACATATCCCGTGACCGCGACAGGATCGTGGGTTGTCTAGATAAGAAGAAGTTTGCTTGCTGGGACCCATGACTGCGACGCGACGCGACATGTCCCGTGACCGCAACACGATTCTGGGCCACCTGGATGGCTGTCCTGTGTATGATTAGTTTATGCCTGCAGATTATGTTGGAAAAAGGAATTAAGCCAACCATAAGTAGACAGTCTTATCTGTTCATAGATGTATTGTCTTACCTAAACAGCTTGTGACCGTGACGCGACGCGATGCGACATGGAGGGAGCCACTGTCCCAGCCAGGAGGGAGAGGATTGTTCCACAGGCCTGAGGGAAGCTGGGTGGATAGAACCCCAGGGTGTGCCTGTCCAGGGTGGAGAATGCCATGTCTGGGGGAGGGCACCTGTGGAGAATGCCATGGGGTGTGGATGAAGTCAAGGGAAGGGAGGCACAAACCATAGCTTGGCCTTCCTCCCTGTGGTACTATCCATTACCCTTCCCTCAGCTAAGTGGGACTATCCATCATGCCTCTGGAGATGCCTCCACCAGCCCTGCTGGCTCCACCATGGAAACCTCCACCAGCCCTCCACCCCTGGTGATGGAACTGTCCACCAGCCCTCCTGCCAGCATAATGGAACCCTCCACTGATCAACAATGATCATGTGAGGTGTTCAATTTCCTGTTATGGCAGGAGGGCAGATGATGATAGGAACCCGGTTTGTCAAAGCATCTTGCTGTGTCAGGCTGTAGCTCATGGAAGCTTTAGGCATCAATTTGATAGCTTTAGGTTCAATTCTTACTTGGTGCACTTTTTTTCCTTTTGCTACTGGTTTCTTTTCTGTTCATTCTAAACAACACCAGTCTGATGGTCAGCAATCAATAATCTAAATGAAAGCCACAATACAGAGTTCACAAGCAAGACCATCCAATATTAATGCTATAAAATATAAGTTATTAATCACATGTGTATAATGGTATATGATTATGTAATGAGACTATTAGTAGTCTTTTCTTTTATACAGAATTTAATTTTTTTTTCAAATAACGAATGTATTTAATAAGCTGATACTAGGACTATCATTAGGCTCTGTTGCTGGCTAGGGTAGTGAATAGAGTCAGGTCCACATGTAATGAGACTGCTTACTTATAAGTAAGGCTTCAGTTAAGTTTATTAATAGTAGCATTTAATTTTCTGAAGAAGCTATTCATTCAATCAGCTCATACCAGCTGATACTGGGGCTATCATCAGGCTCTCTTACTGGCAGTGCACAGGGTCAGGTTCATTGCCCTAGGTAGCTACTAGATCATATAAGGTCTATCACTTAGCTAGACTGGCTCATTACCACTATAGAGGCTATAAAGCAGGCAAAACCAAAGGCCTGAAAGGGGCAGCTAGGGTGGTAACCTCCACAGTATTGTGACGTGACAGGTGGGGAACCCTCCACCCCCAGTGGCAAAATCCCAACCAGTGGAAGGGCTCCACTTTCTGGGGCCTCTTAGGTGGAGGGTTTGAGGGGGGTTGATAACCCTAAGAGGTCTAGGTTCAGGGTAGACTGAGGTGCCAAGGGCGCCCAAAAAGCAAAACAGAGACAAAGGATGTGGAAATGTATTGGACATGGACGCAAGCCCATGCACATGATCACAGTGAAACGTTTGATGGACAGCAAGACCGGATCTGTAGATGCCACAAGGCATCAGAAGCCACAGAAGATTAAAACATGCGGCTGAAGCTTATGGGCCATTGCCGAGCCCAAATCGATATAAGGGGACTAGGGAGGATTGCTAGGAGGTTAGGAGTAGCACCTGGCTTGCAAGGGATGTACGATCGTCCCCTCTGCGTCCAGGACCGGGGGCAAGGAGGAGCAGGAAAGTTATGTAAGAGGCATTGATCTCATCTCCTAGATGCTGCAATAGAGCCCTAAAGTAATTGATTATTCTTTTAACACTTGTGACATTTGTGATTTTAGAGCTATTGCCCACATCTTTTGCATTATACTCATGGGCAGTTGCGTATATCTTTTGCATAGAAGTAGCTATGACAGCTGGTCATCCATTAAAGAGGTCGTCCTGGGCAGGCTCTTAATGGGCCCTTTCGGTTTGATTCTACCCCACTTGCTATGCTTGCGGGTCCGACCATCCATCTGTTCTGTTCCCAGTGCGTGCCTTGCACAGCCCGACTAGTGCTCTGCCGGGCCGGGCTTGGAGCCCGAAGCCCGGCCCGGATCAGGGCTCGGGCTTAGGCGGGCCTGGGAAATCCCAAGGCCCGACCCTGGGCTTCTGTTGTACCCATGCCGGGCCCGGGCTTAAAGCCCGAGGGCTCGGGTCGGGCTTGGGAATTCCACAGCCCAGGCCCGACAAAGCCAGGCCCGAAATCGGGCTGGGCTCGGGCAGCCCGGCCCGGCAGAGCACTAGGCCCGACCCGAAGCCTGACATGAGGGGACTCTGGACATAGATACTAGTATTGCCCTTTCTTCTGCTCCCAACAAATACAGTGTCCATCACTAAAATATCAGGGATTCTATATCCAATATTGTTCTCAGGACACCGTCAAGCTCGAGGGTTACCTCCAACACCCGGTCATCAAATTGGCCATCCAAAAAATTTGGTTCGCAAACAAGCGTGCCCGCGGCATCAAGCATTCGAGCGCATTTAATCCAATTCCCGTGGCGACTCTTGCACTGGTGTTGACTGCGGTATGTTCTGTTCTCCCTTTGACTCAATGCTAATGCCTCTTCAGATTGAATATTGTATTGACCGATATTCTAGCGGCGAGTTCGACACCGAGGACACTTTCGATGAGATTCACAACAAGGCTCGCTACCAGACCCATCTCGCGACAGTCACTGAATGGGCCAAGCTCGCTCCTGAGCTCACGACTGCTTTCAGGCAACGGCTTCACGACAACTGTCGGTAAGTAATATCTAATCTGTCCGCATCTTGTCTCTGATATACTTAACAGAAAGAAAGCTGGGGCACCTGTCGTTGAACCTATGGTTACCCCAGGCCTCTCTGAGGCGCGTCGTGCTCAAGCGCTTCGGGACCTGCAAGCCATGCAGCTCGACCAGCCGAATACTTCTTAGATAGTTTTTGTTTGTTTAGACCAAATATATTATGCTTTCTGTTTAACCCCATGTTGTGTTCAGTATTGTATATGAGGGAATATAGCAATCTAGACCTGGATATGTGTAGCTATAGTGTAGTCAGGACAAGGTACAGACTGCTATATTGTGCTACAACTTCTGGCCTATTGACTACAAAGTGCTACAGAGTTGGTCAGGCTACAATATATAGGGGACCTTACAACAGGGATATATTAGCTACATTGCACATGTAGTAAGATGTAGTGGTTAGTTTTTTTCCTGATGTGCCCTTCTGAATGTAATTATCAAGGTCACCATTCTCACCAATGAGAAGCTTTGTTTATTCTACAGGACTCCCACTTACTTATATGCACCAGTCCCATTTTCTGCTAAATGCAAACTATGATATTACTAGTACTCAGAACCTATGATATTACTGAGTACTACAAGGGATATGACAGGCATCAAAATCAGCTCCTTTTGTGTAAAGGAAGTAATAGCAGTTTGAATCAATCAAACACCTCATATCAAAGGTCCTGACACCATCTGCAAGCTATTGCATAGTACAAAAGAACAAAAATTGGAAAATTTGCCCAATATGGTCCAGTAAAATCGTACCCTACTGCACAAGCCGTATCGTGAGTGGCATCACATTGCTGATGGCTGGTCCCAATCTTGTTCGGATCAACGAGACGAAATTCCCGCCATCAATCAAATGCATACGTGATACGATGCCTACCTCGGGACCCTTAGCAAAGCCCGCCACGGCGACGGGGACCACGCGCTCTCCCAGTCCGCACAGGCCATGCGACCCAGCACACGCGTGAAGCGGCCTGGGCCGCCTGGTTCTCAAGCTACGTACCAGCCCCACGCACTTGGCCCCTAGACTCGGGGACAGGGCTGGGAATTCGAAGCGAGATAGGATGGGGCGATGGAAGGCCGCGATGGCGGATAGACAAGTGCAGATGGCGTGGCACCCGTTAGACGAGCGAAGGTGCATCGCGTGATGCCGCCCCCGCTATCTTGCTTCTCCCCGCCACGTAGGGCAGAGGCCGAAGCCTCTTATACCGAGGGCCGAAACAGACAGGGCAAGGGCAATGGCGCATCCGTATAGCGGCGCTGCTGGCTACATCCATGCGAACGAGGTGTGTTATCAGGTTCCCCAGCCAGCCATGCTCGCTGACCTGTTCTATTCCTGGGCAGTATCCATACACGCCGGTAACAACGCACCACAGCATCGACAACCACGTTACAGCTGACGTGGAGAGCGAAATAGACCCCTACGGCGTCGAGCGGTACTATCAGCCCGTGCGTGGCCGTTTTTTCTCTGCATCTGCCGTCCTAATGGTGACTTAGATCCACTCCTTCAGCCCTGCCGCCACAATATGGTCCGCGCCGTCCATGATCGGCAGCGACACGCACCTGACGTCCCTCTCTGAAGACGACCCGGAGTCAACCGTTTCCTCCGCCGGCCCGTCCTACTCGCACCCACGCTTCCGCACCGCGCCGTTCGGGCTCACGACCACCAACAGCTCCCGTATAAGAACGGAGTCACAGCGGCGCCTGCTACCTACGCCGCCGACGCTCGCAACGGTCTTCGCCCACCCATATGGCCATGGCCACCCGTCTGAAGTAGACGCGCCCGCCAAACAGCGCAAGCACGAGGAGCCGGACGACACGGTGACGGAAGCGGACCTCTGGTTCGACGAGGACTCGGTCATCTCGGGCACGCCGAAGCTCGGCGCCGTGGCCCCCGCGCCGGTACCCATATATCTCAAGAGCGGCGCGGCAAGCCCGCTGCGGCCTTCCCGGAGACCGCCGACACGGGACGGCGCGAAGAGGAACGCGGTTGTGCTCGATTTCGGGCCCGGCGAGCGGGGGAGTGGTAGGATCGGACTTGCAAAGAAATGGCGCCGCGAGATAAAGCGACGGGTGAAGGCGATGCTACGGCGGCTGCGCTTGGTGTGGTACGTGTTGGCTATCGACTCGTTGACTTGGACTAATGGATGCAGGCAGGGGAACGGGACCCAATCGGCCACCTATTGAGACTGTATCAATGACTGGCTCTTTTACTTATATCCATGTAACTAATCCTGTTACTGGAGCTGATATTTATTGTTGCTATTTCCGGATGAGTGGACACGGGATAAAACATATTTCGAATACAGAGAAGATGGATCCATGATGTAGATAGAGCTTTTGTGGTGCAGCAATGCTCTGGCCTAAGAACTCCTGCACATCTGATCGTCGCAACCTGTTCTACATCCCATCGACGCACCTCACCCTCCCAACGCCAGCCGGAGCCAGAGCCAATCGTCGTGCCCCGGCACGCAGGCGTCCTAGGATTCGCCGCGCTCCCACAGCGCCGAGGAGTCCGTCTGACAGACATCATTCCATCACAACAGAGTCCACTTCAATCTTTCTTCTAGCTTCCCTGCCATGATAACCGCTGTGATTCATACCCGCTGATACAATACACTGCGAGCTCCCAATATAAGAAACAGTGCTGGTTTGAAAGTCCGCCCTGTTCAAGTTGCTGATGACCCCAAATTCTACCCTCCCGCACATCCTCTCATGCCTCACACTCACCATCTCCGCCCTGAAGGAGGTGACCAGCCTTGCGCAGGGCCATGTCCCCTTCCTTGTCTCTATCTCGGCTGTTAGCGACATGATTGTTCAATTCGTCCAGGTAATGCCACGTTATCCCAGTTCTCTCAAGTTTCAACCACACAACAGACCTCCAAGACAACACAAACCCACATGCAAGTGTTGCTGGAGCAGATGCACCACATCTCCTCTGCCATAATCACACTCTACACCACACAGTCCATCGACGGGTTCCTCCCGCCCTCAATTGTCCAAGATCTGGGCATATTCGCAGAGTATTACTGCCGCCCTCCCAATCCTGCTACCACTGACACAATTTCCCCAGTGCCCTGCAGAAGGTCTACACACATCTTCAGGAGCAGCAGCATGGCAGCAAGCTCAAGAGACTGTTCAAGCAAGTCAACTTGGCAAGCCAGCTGGAGGAGTGCCAGAATGCAATGCAAAAATCAGTCAACATTTTCCAAGTAAAAGTAATTGCTGATACATATTCATATTTAATTTGGATAGGTCCATCTCTCTGGGCAGAACCTGCTGGCCCTATCCAATGATGTCTCTGAAATAGAAGCCCAGCATAAAGAGCTGCTTGAGGCCATCACAGCACATTCCTATAGCACAACTTCAGATGCCACATCAGTATGTTGTCGACGTCTTCATAAAAACATCAGGATTGAATTCAACAACTCTAGACTGGGCTCAGGTCTCAATTTCAGAGCACAGACTCACTGACCACTCTCATTCCGCCTATTCCTAAGATCTTCCATGGCCGTACCTCTGAGCTCCACACTATTGTTCACATGATCACTACAGTGGACTCTGCACATGTTGCCATCCTTGGCACTGGGGGCATTGGCAAGACCGCTCTGGCCCTCTCAGTGCTCCACCACCCTGAAATTATCTCTGCCTTTGCACAGCGTCACTTCATTGCCTGTCATGCAGCACCAACATGCACAGAGCTGGTCACACTGGTGGCATACAGCCTCCATGTGACCCAAGGGCCAAATCTAGTGACCCGGGTCCTTAAACAGCTCAGATTGGCTGCCCAGGGCACATCTGTCCTCATAGTGCTGGACAACCTTGAGACCTGCTGGGAATCTGTAGGGGAGCAGCCAGAGGTGGAGGAGTTCCTGGCTCAGATAGCAGACATTGATAAAGTTGCATTACTAGTGTGCACAATATGTTATTTTGATTTTTATACTAATCTGATGATCAGATTACACTCCGTGGTGCAGAGCGGCCAGGCAAAGTGCATTGGACAAGACCCCATCTGACTCCCCTCATGCCCATCTCCAATGATGCTGCTTGGGCCACCTTCCTTGATATTGCAGATGAAGAGCCTAATCCAGTTATAGAAAACAATGCAGACCATATGATAACTGAATTGCTCTCATTCACTGGGAACCTGCCACTGGCAATCACTCTAGTTGCCCATGTCGCAGCATTTGAAGGCTATGAGAGGACACTGTCAAGATGGAAAGATAACCAACAGGGTATCCAGCTTCTCTCTGATGGCTATGACAAGACATCCAGCCTTGAACTGTCAATCTTGGTCTCTTTAAACAGCCCACGAATGACTGCTGAAGCTTTGGAACTGCTCAGTGTCTTATCTATCATCCCTGATGGCCTCACAGACACAGATATGCTCCAAAGTCAACTGCCAATCAGGAGCATCCTCAGTGCAAAAGTTACACTAATCCAGACTGCCCTGGCATATGTGGAGCAGTCTCATTTGAAAACACTTGCTCCTATCAGAGAATACATTGCAGTGTCCCATCCTCCCTCTGTACAGCTCAAGAAAGTGGTCAGGACATACTTTCATAACATTGTCAGCATATGGGACACTTCCAAGAACCCACTTCCCAGCACAATGAATACAGTTACCCCCATATCTACAAATTTGGCCAATCTCAACAGTGTGTTCATAGACTCCTTGCAAGAGCAGGACTACTATGAGCTTGACAGGGTGGCTCAGAGTGCAGCTATCTTAAATGCTTTCTACCGCCAGACATACCGCACAGTCACACCTGTGTTTCCCATGCTCATTGCCCATTTCTCAACATTAGATTGGACAGCTTTGAAGTACACTATGGGTTTTGGTATGTTTTTGATTGAGATACTGCACTCTGCAGAGTTCAATAAGAACATGGATCCAACATTCTATCTTGGAATTGGGCATGAATATTTTCAAAAATGTGAAAATATGTTGGAGTTAGGTAAGTATATGTAGGGTTCCACAACATATCCCTGATAAAATTATTCAGCACGGTGGCATAATTCCCTGGGACAATTTTACATTACAAGAAGCAATCTTGATGATGCATTTAAACATAGAAAGCTGGCACTTGAGTATGCAACTTCAAATAGGGGACCATCAATGCCAGCTAGGCATGCATTTCATGGTCTTGCTCAAGTCTTGATCTGTAGAGGAGATTTCTCTGCTGCTTTAAAAAACTCAGAGTCTGCACTCACCACTGCCCAAGCACTAGGAGACTTATATGGAGAAGCCTTTGAGCTTTGCCATCTTGCACTTATCCACAGTAATACTGGCAATCTTCACAAAGCCACAGAACTCCTTCCCCAAGCCCGGAAGTTATATGCTCTCTATGATCTGACAGGGGGCACAATGGACAGGGTGGCCCACAATCTTCAAGGAGAAGTCCATCTTCTAAGAACAGAGTATGCTGAGGCCAAGAGAAATAATGAGATAGTCAAAGAAGAATTTATACCAGCAGGACATACTCCAACATTCATGACAGCCTATGCATATGTCAACATTGGGATGTGTGATGCCAGTATGCATGCAGATCCTACCATAGTCAGGCAAAGTCTGTCTAGTGCTAGACAAGCCTTTGAAATGCTTAAATTTCCATTTGGCATTTCTCTTTCTTTGATGATTGAAGCAGAGGCTTGTCTACTAGAGAAGAATCCATTGAAAGCCAGATTACTATTTGAACAGTGTTTCCAAGAGCTGCACTCAAAGTTGAATGAAGGTGCAACATACTGTTTAGAACGCCTGACAAATAGGGACCACAACATGTTCCTCTCTTCTACTGAATTGCTGCATTGGAGCGGGATATTCTTGGCATCTTCAGTCAAAACCAATAACCGGCTTGCTATTATGAAAGCCCTTCGTGCCTTTGGTGATATATATATTTATGATCAACAAGACCCACAGAGTGCAATGCTTATCTATGATATGACTCGGGATGAGTTTGCCAGAATGGGTGTTCATCAGTGGCATGCAGAATGCCTAATCAGGATATCTAGTCTAACAGGCTCTAGGGACAGAAAATTGCTTCTGAAGGAGGCAGCAGAGCTATTTGCCAGATCATCCCAGTTCAAAGAGGTTAAAAGAATAACAAATCTGCTAACTGAACCCCTAGATTAGGGTCATAGTTTGAATCAAATATTGACAAGCCTTCAGCTTGTTGTTGCTTGTTTGTGCTTGTTTGCTCATATTTGGTAGTTGTTCCTGATCTCTCCCTTTATGTGTTCCTTAGTTCCTATATGGTTCCTTCTGTAGTTCCTGTTCCTTTCTCCTAGCTCCTAGTTATTAGGGTATATAAGCCTGTCTCTAGTTAGTTCATCATATCATAGTTTCCCCCAGCAGAGTTTCCCTCAGAGTCCAAAGTCTTCCTCTTCTTCTTCTCCCTCTCTGGTTGTGCTGTAGCCTTTGGTTGCAGTTAGAGCAGTTTGAAGGGCTCTTGCTTTTCTTGTTCTTTCTCACACCAGTGAGAAAGCTTGTCATTTTGGAGCCCACCGCGAGGGTACTTCAAAATTGCATCCAACGCACCTCTTGGTTCACAGCACAGCTACGTAACAGTCTCCCAAAATCGATCTATTGCTCCCTCTACTACAGCCGTTCTGATCTACGCTCCCTCACGCAACCGACTCTCTCTCTCCGCTCCGACATCCCTCCTTCAGCACACCCCTCCGACCTCCTCTCCAACCCCGCCTCGTGTTTCGCCCCTCGCTCATCGCCTCGCTCCACTTCCCAGCATGCCAACAACCTCCGCTCCTGCTGTCGTCCCAATGCCTGCCCGAGGCGCTTTGACTGCGCCGACATTCGACCCGTCGAAGCCTTCGGAGCTACGACGTTACTTCGCTGATGTCGAATACTTGCTCGATCTGGCGCAAATTAGTGATGAACAACAGCGGAAGAGAGCTTGCGCACGGTACCTGTCAGTCGACGACCAAGAGCTTGTCGAAGGAATCGACGAGTTTGCCGACACGGCAGCCACTTACGACGACTTCAAGAACGCGGTCCGAACACTCTACGCGGGCAACGATGAGAACAGTCTTTACACATTGAAAGACTGGGAGACTCACCTGCGTTCGACTGCCCAAGCCGGAATCTCCTGCGAAAACGACCTCGCCACGTTCTATCGAACGTTCATGCGCATCGCCCAGTTCTTGATAGCGAAAAACCGCCTCTCCGAGAC